GGTGCAGCAGCACAGGATGGCAGCAGCCACTGTCTAGGGGAAGGGCTGAGCTCCTGGACCTGGCACAAAACAGAACTGAACCGGGCTGCCTGCCTGCCTGGCTCCTAACGCTCTTTAAATGCATTGCCATAGCAGGGGTAGGTCCTGTTCCCGGTGGGAGCCAGGACTGAGCTGGGCTGCTGGCCACCCTGCTAAAAAATTTACTGGCAGGTGCATGGGGGGGAAATGGTGTGGTCTATAGCATTAACCGATAAGCTTTCGCTTATCGGTTAACCAACTACATGATTACATCCCTCGTACAGAGAGCATCCGGGCACTGGCCTGGTGACTCTGTAAGAAGGATTGTGAGGCGATTATGCCTGTTCGGTGCCTAGTCACCTCCAGGGGATCCCTTGGTTCCAGTAGCTATGGTGGTTCGCTTGTTCAGAACCTGTTCTCACTTCAGGCTCTGGTACTTCTGTGAAAAGCTCAGCTACTGTGTGCCAGAATCACCTGACAGCCCAGCTCTGCAATGGCAGGGACTGTGATCAAAAAAACCTAGTGTTTAGGGTGGGAGCAATCACAAGTTATGTAGATATTTGTGCATAGTACAAAGAGCTGATATCTTTTCTCTGGGGCACGGTGGTTTGGTATAAAACACGAGTCACCCATTCCAAGATCTGGATTCAGTATCTAGCTTTGCAAACCGAAAACGTCCCTGTGTGTCTTTGAGCAGGTCATGTCACCTCCCTGGGACTCGGTTACCGCTTGTGTCAAGCAGGGGCGATGGTATTTGGTGCTGGAAATAGGGATTCTGCAGCCCCCCCTGGCTTGAGGTGGTTTCCGTTACATAACAGGGTTTACAGTTTGGTTCAGTGACTCTCAGCACGTACACATTGTTCCAGCCCCCTGGCAAAAGGAGGGATGTGAGGCTTTCCTAAGAAAAGGTGGAATTCAGAGAATTAAGACCCTGGCATGGAAGAGGTGGGCCTGCAACTGCTGGCTCCTACTCCCAGTGTTCACTCTCAGCTGGGGAGACAGTTCAGAAAGAGCAGACTAATGAGATCCTGGTTGGGACCCGAGACTCAAGAGATGAGTGTAGCTTTGAGTGTACGTACCATACAGGCTGCCAGCACTGGGATTGGTGTCAGCGTCGTAACGGCTACCCACAGTACTGCCCATATGAAAAAACGTCACATGTGGCATAATCAAAATGGGGTGTCACCAGAACACTTACTTAATAGAGGATTTTCTCTCCTTTTTTGGCGCTAATGTGGCTTTTTATAATTGCCAAAAGTGAATTCATGCCCTGCTGCCTGTCAAATGGCTGAATAATTTTGGCCGGGGAGGATGTCAAAAAGCCAAAACTCGCTTTAAGCAGGAACTGAGCCTGGAAAAATTTCAGCCCAGAAGGCGGGGGGGGGGGAGTTTTACAAAACTTTGAGGGACTGAAAATGGGTATCATGGAAATGCTCCAGAAACCCTGACTCTAGTTACTTGCATGGAAGTAGTGCCCCAAAACTGACTCATTCAAAATGCAAAAAGAAAAGCTCTTTGAGAACATGTCTGGGGGCCAGAGGTAGAAGCATGAGTGAACTAGAGTTAATTTCACAGTAAGTGCCCTGTTGTACATGTAGAACTGTACATGTAGTTGTCAGCCCATGTCAGAAGCTGACACGTCACTGTCTACACGTAGGCTATGTCTACACTGCAGTGTTTTGGCACAAAAAGTCTTTTGCAAAAGTGCATCCACACCTCAAAGCGCATCAGTTAATCTTTTGCACAAGCGAGCATCCATGCAGTATGTCAGCTTGCACAAGAAAGCTCTGATGGCCATTCACAGAATAGCCTTCAGAGCACCTCTGCTTTTTCGGATTGGCTCTTTTTGCACAAGAAACCCCTATGGAGCGTCCACACGTACCTTTTTGCCCAAGAGCTGCAGCCCAAAAAGGAGTTATGCCTCGTAGAAGGAGGTATACCTACACCGCAAAAAGCCCTCTGTTCTGTCAATTGACTAGATTTTCTTGTGCAAAAACGTGCTTGAAGTGTGAATGCTCCGTGAGTTTTTGCGCAAAAACTTTGTAGTGTAGACGTAGCCCTAGAGTGCTTTACAAGAGATCCCATCAATGTCAGACAAGTGAGCACCCTTCCCCCAAAGGAGTTGCAATCTTAACTGGACAAACAAAGGCTGTTCGTGCTGAACAGAACTTGCACTGAGATTTCTTCAGAATTCTTTGGCCTTATCATGCCACTGATTTAAAAAAAAAAAATTTAAGGCAGATCTTCCCTCAAGATTTCACTGTAGAGTAGGGACGTAAAATCCCGTTTAGTCACTTAACTGCTTAAATGGCAGGAAGTGGGGGCTGGGCTGGTCCAGCCGGGCTGGAGCACCCCCCACTGACAGCACAGCGGGCTGCTTCAGCCCAGCCAGGCCTGCTACACCATGGATTGCTCCAGCCAGGCCAGGCCTGCGTCAGGCAGGAGCTGCATTAGCCTGGCTAGGCCTTCTGCTATCCGGTAACTAATCAGCATCGTGCTTTCTGGGTGATGTTTACCAGTTAACCACTGACATCCCTCCTGTGAAGTTTTGCTTTGAAAGCAATGGGATAAAGACTGCCTGTTGACTGGTAGTTAAATAGTCTTAGACAATGAGTAGTCCTTTAGTACCTTAGGGTGTGTCTACACAGCACCCTTAGCTCAAAATAAACTACACAATTTGTGCAACTTATTTTGAGTGTGTTTCGAAATAGTTTATTTCATAATTTGGTGCTGTCTACACAGCACCAAATTTCAAAATAACTCGCTATTCCAGAATGCCCCTTAACCCTCATGGAATGAGGGTTATCGGGACGTTGGATATGCTGCCCATTATTTCAATATCTATTACGAAATAACAGGCTGCTTCAGTAGATGCAGAATCACTATTTTGGGATACTTCTGGTATCCCAAAATAGCTCCGTAGTGTAGATGTACCCTTAGAGACTAAGAAAAATATATAGAATCATGAGCTTTCGTGGCTAGAACCCACTTCATCAGATGAGTTAAGTGGGTTTTACCCACAAAAGCTTATACTATACATTTTTTTTTTTTTTAGTTTCTAAGGTTCCACAGGACTATTTGTTGTTTTTAAAGTTCTAGATAACATGGCTACCCCTCTGAGAGTTAGACCATCATGTGTTAACCTTGCATGTCTATTTTTTTATCTTGGATGTAAGAATTTTGACAGCCAAGCAATGAAATTCAACAGATGGACCTCAGAATATTGGGCTTGTATTTGCTGATTCAAAATTTGATACAGCTGGTCTGTGAGCTCTAGAAATCTGATAAGTGGAAAAAATCAGAGGTTTTGTTGTTGGTGGTTTTTTTTTTTAAACAAAACCTCCTAAATCTGTCTGACCTATTTGATTTGATTCCAGTTGATACTGCAAATAAGTTGCTTTAGCAGGTTAAAATATGTACTATAGAGTAAGAAGGTATTTGACAATGAAAGATCAAATATCTTTGTGAGTGTATAGATTAAAATGTTTTCAAAGCCTTAAATGTTGCTTTAATGAACCTCCAAACACATATACTGTAAAATACCAATGATAGAACTGTCTAGATTCCCACTGTCTGACATGCAACATTTTAACATAACTGTTCTGATCAGAAAAAAACAATTTTCTAAAGTTACCACGATGTAGTGAATTTGGTCTTCATCTTTCTCTAGCTCTGGCCTGTAAAACTTGGGTTTTCTTCTCCTTTTGAGGGGGTGCTGGTATGTACAAACCCGGATGTGTTTAGAATGCATGATTAATTTTTTTATGGCACCACAGCATGATGGAACCTTTACTACTTATTCTAATTTACATGATATGAAATCGATTTTAAAAGAATCCAGACTGCATGCATCACTATAGCCCTTTCCCTAGAATGTATGCACTGCTGTTGTCCAATTCCTCCCTCACATCACTGTTTCTTATTAATGAAGTTCTAACCTGTGTTCATAATGAATGGAATAAAAATTTGCAGTTAACATGCACAGCTAAACAAGTGTTAGCAAACGTACCCTCTACGTAGAAAACACATGAAAAAATAATAATGTTAAAACAAATCGGATGAATTTAAACCTTCTAAAGCAAATTAAGTCTACTGTGTGACCTATTCAAACATATCTGTATATATGGAATGGATAACTAACACCCTCTTCACTACCTCTGTTGGAGCCCTTCACTTGCCCTGTTTTCCTGCCCGTCCTTTATTAGTAATTGTCTGAGGGTGGGGTGGGCTGATCTACTCTTCATTCTGAAGCATAACACATACAACTTTCTTCTAGTGTAAAAGCCCCCAAGACAAAGGAAATGACAACAACTTCCCCAAGCTGGAGTCGCTGCGGGAGGAAGATGAGGCATCTGATGTTGATAACCGGGAGAAGGAGATTCTGATCGAACGCATACAGTCAATCAAAGAGGAAAAGTGAGTCCCAGCTTCGCATTGCTAATGGAATCTATTGAGCGTATGCCTTGTGTCCCGGGAGGCAATGCAGCATGCTGTGTTGCATGACACCCGTACTGTAGAGAAGTCAGAGTGAAGAAGCAGTAAAAGATAATCGGCAAAGGCAATAGTTGGAGATGAAATTTGGTGAGGTGTAGGTGCAGGGCTGCTTGCTTCTAAAGCATGCTCTGCTTAGACTTGTTCATGTTAATAGCATTGGTAAATACAGTAAGTCGCTATCTTCCTGGGGTGCCATGATCTGTATGTGTTTGATGCAGGGAAGACATAACTTACCGATTACCTGAGCTGGACCAGCGAGGCTCTGATGAGGAAAATCTGGACTCTGAGACATCAGTGAGCACGGAGAGCCTACCAGGGGACCGAATAGGACGGCTGGACACTGAAGGTCAGTATTAAGGTAGTGTGTGCTCTTTTTTTATTACTTCTACATTATTTCAAATTTTACGTATTTTTGTGACATCTGGTCAAAACCAGTCATGTCATTTTACATTTTTCAAGATGCACTTTAACTTCCGTGTCTCTTTTTCTTTAAAGGAACCACATTGTCTGAATTCCAGGGCCATGGTCAGTGCCCCAACATGCCTGCCAAAGTCTCTTGCCAAGGTCCCAGCATTTCTTGTCCACTGGCCTCCACAGTCTCAAATCCATTTACAAGGCACAGACTATCCTCAATGCAGGTTAAAACGAAAGTCCCCTGTCGAAATCCCGTAATGCCCACAGCAAATATAAAACTTCCCTATGGGATTTCCAAACGGACAGAATCCCAGGGAAGAATATTGGCTGCTGTATCCTCTGAGCCAGTGGTGAGACGGAGGGACCGGCCAGCCAGGCGAACTGATAAAATTCACTCTGTGTATGTTGCACAAAGGTCAGTTGTGGTCCAAGCTCAGGAATCTTTGGACGAATATGAACCAACAGCAAAAGTGAAGCGGAGATTTTCAGACCCTTACTCTCACATGTCATGCATAGAGGAATGAAATATTTAAAATTTGGGATTTTTTTTTTTTTTAATGAGAACTGTAGCTTTTGGCTCTAATCCGCCTTGGCAGATGATGAACTTGTGCACTTGGCGTAAGCAGTCACCGGACGTGCAGTCGGGAACTCTCAGCACTCTAAGGGTGAAGCAGAGTTGCTTAAAAACAAGGAATATCCTGCTTTTTGTAAACAAAAGCAACTTTGGAGGGTGGAGTAGGCTCTAAAACAGTTTCGGTCACGGAGCAAAATACTGGGACTTGAGTCTGCAAAAAACCCTCAGTTTCTCCTGCTGTGCTGCCTTGTATTTGCTTACGATGGGCTGTAATAGGCCCGACTGAGTTAGTCACTAGGTTTTTCCATATTCCATTTTTTTATGTTTTATGAAAAGTTCTTTTTGTTTACAAAACTGTTAACGTACTTGTCTTAACTGAGACCAAAAACATATCCAAATGTTTATTAATACATTGCACTTTTTAAAAACACGTGTTATCAATGTCCTATTGCTACAATGTCCGCCCTTCTTGAGAGCTCTTGAGTAGAAAGAAGACACTTAATTCTGACCAAAAGTGGATCGGCTTTCTTGAGATTCATGCCTTTTCCCAACACTTCCTTAAAAGGATTTGGAAGAGTTCTGCAGGGTAAATACCAATCACCAAAGGCGTTGGTTTTCTGAGAGTTCAGTGCTTTGCATACAAGTATAATCACATTGCTCAGTAAATGCAGTTGTCACAGTTGGGCAACTTTGTGCAAGCCTTTGTTCAGCATCTGTTGTGCATCACAGTGCTGCAAAAGTCATCAAGCATGAGCACATGCAAGCACAAACAGCTTCTAAAACTTGGGCCATGTGAGTCAACCCCCAGCTCTCCTCTACCAGTGTGAACTGGGAGCATAGACGGGGCAGCAGGCTTTCCGCTGATACGAAGAACTCCATTTGAACACTGCGTACAGATGTGGTCACCTCATCTCAAAAAAGATATATTGGAAAAGGTTCAGAAAAAGGCAACAAAAATGATGAGGGATTTGGAACGCTTAGAAAAGAGGCGACTAAGGGGGGTATGATAGAGATCTATAAAATCATGACTGGTGTGTTAAAAAGTTAAAAAGGAAAAATTATGTACTTGTTCCCATAACACAAAAACTAGGGGTCACCAAATGAAATGAATAAGTAGCAGGTTTAAAACAAACAAAGGGAAGTTTTTCTTCATGCAGCGCACAGTCAACTTGTGGAACTCCTTGCCAGAGGATGTTGTGAAGACCAGGCCTTTAACAGGATTCAAAAAAGAACTAGATAAATTCATGGAGATTAGATCCACCAATGGCTGTTAGCCAGGATGGGTAGGAATGGTGTCCTTAGCCTCTGTTTATCAGAGGCAGGAAATGGATGACAGGAGAGGGATCACATGATGATTACCTGTTCTATTCACTCCCTCTGGGGCATCTGGTATTGGCCACTGTTGGAAGACAGGATACTGGGCTAGATGCACCTTTGGTCTGACCCAATATGGCCATTCTTATGTTCACTTACTGGCTCCAATCAAGAATCCCTTCCAGTCTTCTCATTGCCAAGTATCAAACAATGCATACATGTGTAAAAACAAGGAGTCCTGTGGCACCTTAAAGATTAACAAATGTATTTGGGAATGAGCTTTTGTTGGTATAAAAAAAACCAACCACTTGGTCTCCATGGTTCTGACAAAGTGGGTTTTTACCCATGAAAGATTATGCCCAAATACATCTGCTAGCCTTTGAGGTGCTACATTCTCCTTGTTGTTTTTACAGATATAGACTAACAGGGCTATCTCTGAGACTTGTCACACAAAGGTGTGTTAGAGCTGGTAGGAAGATGTGGCTTTTTCCATGGAAAACTTTGAATTTGTACTTTAAATAAGATACATTTTGATTTGGAAATGTTATGGTGCCTCATGGGAATTTTAGTTTGGATGCCTCTGTGCCATGCTCCTAAAGATGTACCATTTCCCATGATATACCAAAGTATCTTGGTGGGAAAAGTCATGCATTACAGCAGTCCCAGCTGTAGTGCTACATGGGAGAAGTAGTTTAGCAGGAGAGCCTGCTCCAGAGAGAAGAATGGATGCACAATTCCCATGTATTTTTTTCTGCAGATTGCAGCTATTTTTTACAAAAAATAAATGGAGACCCCTATTTTCTGTGCAAACGGTTTTGACAATTGAGTCAGCCACTCCTGCTGCTTAATTATAATTAAAAATGCTGCTGTTGCAATGAGTGGTGAAGGAACAAATGTACCACCTTGTAGTTAGAACAGTTGCTGAGTCAGTGGAGACCACACATTGACATAAAAAGGCACTTTAGCAAGCACTTTAGTTTGCTGCTCGAAAGCTTAGAGGTGAACTGGAAAATTCAAGCACTGGATTTCACAAACTTTCCAATTAGATGCAGAATGCTGCCATCAGGTAGGTAGGGCAACATGGACAAAATATTTGGTTTTTTTTCTTAGCATATGACATAAAATTAAGGAGCTTAATTTAAAAAATTGCCTCCTGCCTGAGATTAGAACAGGATTAGTCCTGTGATAATGAATACTCTTTTTCTGTACATTGTCAGGCAACCCCGAATACTCATTTTCTGTACACTGTCAGGCAACCCCAAGCACAATTTGAAACCGCTAGTGAGACTCTTCCATATGCCTTGAGAGACTTTTTAATATAGCCAAAATGTGTGTGAAAATTACAATGCCTTTTAGTAGCTGGACTAACTTCAGCTTGTTATTGCTCACTTCCTGTGGGGTAGTATCAGGGCACAGAATAAATCCAGCATGTCTTGCTGAACTTATTGGCTAATACATCAGTGTGTTCATTACTGTACAGCTAGGCATCAATGATCCTAGCCCAAGGTGGTCATAAACTAAAGTGGTCAGACAACGCAAGCCAAGGCACAGTCCAATGGATCAACAGCCAGCGAAAGGTCTACCTTCCACGTATGCCAAGTAATTCTCGGAGGAGGACTGTCATTTGAAGGTTGTAGTGAAGAGATGTTTTCAAAAGGAATTTGGAGAAATTTAATCTAAAGTTAGGGGAATTATGTAGCTGTTTTGTCACCACGAACAGCTTGCCTCTGAAAAGGTCAGTGATATAGTTAAATGAAACAGTGGTTGTAGCTCAAATGTAAACCAATTTCATTGTTAAACCTCTGTAATGTGAGCTAAATTATGAGATCAAGGCCTGGTTAACGTGCTGGCAAGTGACGTTTCCATTCCAACTCATCTGATGAAGTGGGTTTTTCTCACAAAAAGTTCATGATCATAATAGGGATGTTAAATATTAGTTAATTGAATAGTCAATTAACCTCATGAATGCTTATTGGTTACTCAACTATTCTATAGTCCCTGGGGGTGGGGTTGGCAACCAGTGCAATCCAGCCACACTCTTGAGGAGACCCCTGCCACTCCATGCTGCTGTTTCTGTATCAGAGGCAGCAGCATGGGGTGCCAGGCACGAGCTGGTGCTTGAGGAGACCCAGTTTAAAAACCAGTTCCCCTTGCAGACCGTCTGCCTGTCGCCCCATGTTGCTGCCTCTGATACAGAGGCAGCAGCACAGGGGGGCAGAAGCCCCTGTTCGGGTAGGTTCTGAACTCCCAGACATGGCGCGAGCTAGAACTGAGCCAGGCTGCCTGCCTGCTTGGCTCCTAATAAACTTTAAAGGCAAAGCTATAGCAGGCTTAGGGCCTGGATCTGGTGCAAGTCTGGGCAGAGCCTACCAAAAAATTTACTGCGGTGGGAATGGGTGTAGTCTATGGCATTAACAGATAAGCTTTTGCTACTCAGTTAATTGATTCTACTATTACATCCCTAGATCCTATATATATTTTAAGTTTCAAGTGGGGCTAGCTGGGTTAGTCTGTAACTTTAAAAACTGAGGACTCCTGTAGCACCTTAGAGATGAAGGAACATATACATGTATTGCTTATGAGCTTTTGTGGCAAAATTCACTTTCTTAGATGAGAAGGGGCTGGGGTGGGAATGACACAATTATTTTCCACTTTTTACTCATCTGAGCAAGTGGCTTTTCCCTATGAAAGTTCATGAGTCTCTCTCTATATCTATATCGATCTAGAATCTCTACAGACAGACTGACTAGTGATAGAAATGTAGCCCTGTTAGTCTGGTGTAGCTGAAACAAAAAAACAGGACGATGTAGCACTTTGGTATGTAACATCTTGTTAGTCTTCAAAGTGCTACAACGTCCTGGTTTTTGTTACAGACACGACTCTGCTCTTTTTGTTAGTCTCTGAGGTGCTATAAGTCTACTCGCTTTTTTTTCAAGTTGCGGGCTCCCGGGCTCCCCCTCTCAGCCTCCTCATGGGCAAATAGTGTGTGTGTGTGTGGGGGGGGGCCTACTGGAGTCTTTTCTTAGATCGTTCCTCTGCCCCCTGGCCTGTAATGTCCCCGCGCTGCCGCCTGTGGGCCCTGTAACGCCACGTGCAGGCTCCTGGGGGCGGGGAAGCTGCAGAGGCTCCCCCCCCTCCCCCACCCGGCGGCGCCGGGTCCCCGCCGCCCCCGG